GCTTTTCCCAACATAGTCATCATAAAAATACATTCGTCATAAGATACAACTCTTAGTGATAGTCACAGGGTTCTAAATAATCAATCAACATAAATCATACTAAACAATATATTATAAATCATAACATACAAGCTATTTGTCAGTCTGTGCTCCATTCAAAATCCAAGAAAGAAATACTTAGACTCCATAGATTAGAGAAAAGAAATCTTTTACTGAAAATTGAAGTGGTAGCTTCAGATAAAATTCTGAATCTGAGAAATTAGGCGCGCAGATCACATATACAAACACTATTGTTTGTGGGGGTTGAGACATTGGCATCTCTGATGGCTTTTATGCTGGTGAGAAGTCACTGAGGAACTGAGAAGAGATTGCACAGAATGTTGGATAATACTAGATGTTCATGCTTTGTTCTTTACAGGAGGAGTGCGGTCTTCAGAGAGATCGACCTCAGCCAAGAGGTGTCACGTAGAAGCCACCCAGATATCACAAGCCTCACTGTGTCCTTGTGCAATTGTGTAAACCCTGCAACGTCACCCACTGCAACACTGGTGTTAAACGAACTCACAGACCAACCCGTGCTCCTCTCTTGCCTCCCCCAGTGGTTGGGTGCAAGTGGGACCTTCCGGGCCCCGAATTAAGACTTGGATCTGGAGCTCCCAAAATTGGGTGGCATTAAAAGAGGAAAGAGACAGAAAGCGAAAGTGAAAGAGGGAAAATGAGACATTTTCAGACAGAAGTCCACAAATGCAAGAAAAAATATATAACGAACTATGAAAAAAATCTGTTTTGGTTTCTTCAGAAATTTCAGGTTGTTCTTCTCAATCTCAAATTTGAGTGGTGTTATTTTTTTTTAAGGTCAGGGAAAAGTTGAGCTTGGATCCCTTTTGGGAAGCCTCTGAATTTGGGAATAAGACCCTTTGCCCAGAGGAGGTATTCAGCAGGTTCTGACCAGTTCTGGAGAACCAGTAGTAGAAATTTTGCGTGGTTAGGAGAACCGGCAAATACCACCTCTGACTGGCCCCACCCATATCTATTCTCCGCCTCCCGAGTCCCAGCTGGATTTTCTTTTGTTGCCCTGCACAGAACGGAGCTGGAAAGCAGGTTAATGGAGTGGGGAAGGAATGGGGATTTTGCAGTATCCTTCCCCTGCCATGCCCACCAAGCAACACCACACCCACCAAGCCACACCCACAGAACTGGTAGTAAAAAAAATTTGAGTCCCACCTCTGCCTTTGCCACATAATTCCACATTGCTTCACAGAGAACTGAAGTTGGGGGAAAAACCTATGGGGGCGGAGGAAACGGGGTATCTGAATTTTAATCTCCCGTGATACTCCCATGATATGGGGAGGGGTGGGCGTAAGAGGACTGAACTCCTAAAAATTTTGTTTCTTTAATTAATTTTAATGTTATCCAACTAGCTTAAAAGGTAAATTGGCGCAGTGGGGAGAGGAATAATCATTTGGGGTCATCAGGGCAGTTGAGAAATGCAGTGGTTTTGGAATCTTAACACACACAAAAAATCCATAAAATTCTATTTTTGAGCTGAATGGCGTTTCTGGAAAAGGTCAAAAAATATTGGTTCTGGTTATGTAGTGTGGAAAGGGAACTTCATGAGGACAGCGGTGACACCCAAGCAGGAAAAGCCCAAAGGGAACATCAGGCCAACCATAAATCAAACTTGCATAGGAAAAGAGATTTAATAAAAGGTATTGAAAGAAGCCCCCTAGACAAAAGCCAAGTAATTAAGAAAGCTAAGGAAACAAGAAAAAGAAATCCCTTACAAACAACAGGTCATGCCAAATCAGCAAAACAAATAGACACAAAATATATTGCAAAGGAGACAGACAGGAGATTGCCACAAAACAAATATAAGAAAACATTAGGACGAAACTGATAATCCAATCAAACCACCCCGCGGAGTTTACCCTCCGGCGGAAATGAAGACAACCCCGACAGGATTTAAAACATTAAGAAATACAAACACAAGCACACACACACACACACAAAAGGAGAAAAGGTATAAAAATCAGGGGTTTATTATACAAAGATGGCTAGCCCCAGGAACGCAGACTTCTTGCTATCTCTTGCCTTCCTGAAAAATAAACCAGCTTCCAAGCAGTTGTCTGTGTCCTTGCACCGGAGCTCTCCCAGCAGGAAAATCGAGCCCTCAGAAGAAAGGCATTTTCCAGCCTTTCAACAGTAGGAAATAAAGACATAAAGAGAAACAACTTGCTCAAGCCTTTTTTTTAATGCTCATATGATATATTGTTGGATTAAAAAAAAACATTTTGAAAGTAAAAAGGCATCAAGAGGCACTCATTAATTCACTGGCTACACTTCTTTCAGCAGGATTAATGCAGTTTTGCACCCAGAGATCTAAGCCAAACAAGCCTGTACATATAAACATTCAGATGGTTTTTTTTTCTGCTAAACAACAGTTATCCACATCAGATTATATGAAAAAAGAATAATTTCAGTACTTTGGTAATGTTTAAGTCCCAACATTTATAGCATGTGGAACTAAAAATGCACACATATGCATGTTTTTTTTTTCAGCTATGCTTGCATATGACAACTCTCTACAAAGCTTAGAACTGATCCCAGACTCGTTTCAGATATTACGTCAGCCTAAAAAAACCTGTTTGACCAGGCAAAGTTCTTTGCATAATGCCTGGGACAGTTGAATAAAAAATTCTCATGAGCCAGACCAAACAGATTAGGTCAGGGGTCCCTAACCTCTGGGCCCTGGACCGGACATGTCTTCAGTCCTTTAGGAACCGGGCTGTGCAAGTGAAGCTTCATCTGCGCATGTGTGGGATCTAGGTAACATGTGAAACCATGCCCCCCATCCATGCAAACATTATTTTCCATGGAACCAGTCTCTGGTACCTAAAAGTTTGGGACTAGAGATTTAGATAATGCTTCTGGCATTAAGAAATCTATCCTGGGAGCTTTTTCCATAATCTATACATTGTTCAATTTCTCCGATGTCATGACAATCCTCCGGGTTTGTACATCCTCTTTTCAAAGGATCTTGTATTTGTTAGGAATAACAAGATTACCTAACGTAGTTTGGGTAAAATAATATATATAAACTATGATAGTAAGTTTAAGTGTGTGTCACTTTAAACTGCAAAGCATGTAATTTTAGGTGCGGTTGTGAAACCGCCATAAGAGGGAGCAAGAGAACCTGCTGATTGCTGACGATTCCTGGTTTGATGGATTGATGGTTTGCTAACTGCGTGTTTCCCTACTACTGAGTTGCTGAATGCTGGAGGAAGAAAGGAGGTTTGATTTCTTCATATCTCTACTGCGAGGAGATATATTACTGGACTGATATTTGTAAGTTTACTGACCTCTTTTTCGACACTGGAATTTGCAACTGAATAATCCCCAGACGGACTGAACTAGTGAATGATATATGGACTGTTTGACTATGCTAAAACTCTTGCTGGAATAAACTATTTAACTAGCACAGTGTATCTGTTTTACTGAGTGTAAGCTACAAAAACGTTTATCTCACATATTTTGCCTGCCTGCCTGACTGCCGTGCAGATTCTGCTAGGGTGTATCCCTAACAGTATTTACTAGATCTGTGATGGCGAACCTATGGCACATATGGCGGAAGTGGCACACAGAGCCATTTCTGCCAGCACGTGAGCCACTGCCCAAAATTGATCCACTGCGCATGTGCGCACCCCCCCATAGCCAGCTGATTGTCGGGTATCTGCCACGCATGTGCAGGAGGCGGCGCATGCATGGGAGATGCAGGCACATGTGCAGGGGTGGTGTGCAGGGGGTCACACGTGCATGCACAGAGGCACATGGTGCAGGTCACATGCACATGGGGTGGGGGTTGGGTCACGCACGCATTGCATTATGGGTGCAGGCACACACGTACGCACATGCGCACTTTCGGCACACGACAAAAAGGTTAGCCGTCACTGTACTAGATCCGTAAGTGTGAATCCTTTTATGGAAAATGAGACAGGTCAACAGACTCTTTGTATTCCATGCATTTATTCTATCTTTCCTATGCGAACGTTTTTCTAAGAAATAAGCTCCTTGTACTGAAGTTCTTAAGATTGCTGCCCTTTAATTCTTTCCCCAGGCCTGTATTTCTAGATTTCTCCCATATAAATCTTACCATGGCAATTAAGGAATCTTGCTTACTCTCTTCCCATCCTCTTTGTATTTATAGATCCCCTTTCCAAGTGGATGGTTGCCTCTCAAACTTTTCCCACGTGTTCTAATGTTTCTCCCACATATATCTCCAATAACATTTGTAGAAAATAAAATTTCTATTACACTTGAAAAGAGCCAATTTGATGGAGTGGTTAAGGCACCAAGCTAGTAACCAGGAGACTTTCTTTAGGCATGAATCCACTTGGATGACTTTTGGCCTATCACTTTCTCCCAGCCCTACAATGAAAACAACAGTAAAACACTGGAAAAATCTTGCCCAAAAATCTGCAGAGACTAGTAGCACCAAGAGTCAAAAAACGACTTCAAAGGCATAAAGAAAAAGCACTTGAAGATTTTCCCAGGCTACATGCTTACATTGTATTTCCCTTGTATGAAACCTTTTAGTACACATCAGTTGGCAATTATTGGCCAAAGCTCTGCCTTTAGTGTATATACAGTATTTAATATTACAGTAGATCGTTTTAAAAGGAATTAAGGATATCTCAGCCCCTAAAGTTATCTCCCCCATGTGGATCCTTTTATGGAAGCTGATGATCCACCCAAAGTCCTTTCCACACACTGTTCATGCATATTTTTTCCTTATGAATCCTTTTATGAGAAGTATAGGTAATCCACAATTTATGACTGTAATGAAGGCTGCAATTATAGTTGCAAGTTGCAATGGACATTAATTAAGGCACTCACATGAACACCTTGCTTAATGAAACCAATCCTCTCCACAATGCAATTGTTAAGTGGAGCATAGGGTGTCTCAGATGTAGTGGTCTTGGGAGAACTAGAGCAATGGTCACCAACGGGTGGGCCGCGGACCACTGCTGGGCGGCGAGAAAATTTTGGTGGTCCGCAGAGAAATGTCATCCCCAAAGCTGCACGGGAACACAAGGCTTGCGTTGCTTGCATTGCGAACAACATGAGGTAGTAAGGGGAGAGGGGAAAAAGTGGAGGGGGGAACTTGCCCCACGCCCCTTGCCTGGTGTGTGAGGGACCTGTGTGTGTGTGTGTGTGTGTGTGTGTGTGTGTGAGAGAGAGAGTGAGAGAGAGAGAGAGAGAGAGAGAACATCACCGCCAGTCCTCCGAGGTTAGATTGGATCTCTCTCTCTCTCTCCCACCAATGTCAGTCAAAATTCATATTAGTGGTCCACGGGATTTAAAACTGGTGGTCCCTGAGGTCCAAAAGGTTGGTGACCCCTGAACTAGAGCATACCTAGGCCCATGCTGCAGAACCTCCCTAGCTCACACACGTCCTGTCCCGCTTCTCCCCCATCCCAAGGAACCCAATACTCCATTTCTCAATCAACAGGGGTCCTGCAGGTCTTAAGCCTTCTTCAGAGATGGACCTATGCAACCTCCATGTGGAGGGGTCAGTCGCCAATTGAGGCTGCTTTGTGGACTACGGAAAAGGTAAGTGGACTGAGCTTTGATGGGGAACGAGGAGGGTGGGGACCCAGCGAGGCAGCATTGAGGAAAGATAGCACAAGTGCTACCACAGTAGAACCACTGTTGATTGTAAGGACAGGTGAATTGCCAACAGTCTGAATTTTGTTCACAGGAACCCAGAAGTTCTGCAGCAGCTGTAATGTCAGGCGGGGCTTGTAAGACCCATCATTCACTGCCGTTGTAATTTTGAACTGTCTCTGAACACGTGTGGTGTAAGTTGCTGGCTAAGAGAACAGTTTTCACAAAAAAGAATTTCCACATTCACAGAAATGCTATGGATTGCTTGTGGATTCTTTTATGGGAACGGAGATTACAACTTGTACTGAAGTTCTTCCCACACTCCAGGCAGGAATATGGTTTCTCTCCAGTATGGATTCGTTTATGAGAGGTAAGGGAGTTATTCATACTGAACCTCTTTCCACATTCTGTGCATTGAAAGGGTTTCTCCCCTGTATGGATCCTCCTATGTGAAGTAAGGGAACTATTCGCGCTAAAACACTTTCCACACTCCAAGCATTTAAAGGGTTTCTCTCCTGTGTGGATCCTTTTATGGGAAGAAAGATCAATGCTTGTGCTAAAGTTCTTCTTGCACACTATGCATTCATAGGGTTTCTCTCCAGTGTGGATCCTCTTATGAGACGTAAGGGAACTGTCCACGCTGAAGGTTTTCCCGCACTCCTTGCATTTATAGGGTTTTTCCCCTGTATGCATCCTTTTATGGGAAGTAAGTTGATTCCTCCACATGAAATTCTTCCCACACACCACGCATACATATTTTTTCTCTCCGGTATGGATCCTCTTATGACAAGTAAGAGAACTATTCACACTGAAGCTCTTTCCCCATTCTATACATTGAAAGGGTTTCTCTCCTGTGTGAACCCTTTTATGAGAGGTAAGGTCATTGTTTGTGCTAAAGTTTTTCCCACATTCTATACATTGATAAGGTTTCTCTCCGGCATGGACCCTTTTGTGAGACATAAGCGAACTGTTCATATTGAAGCTTTTCCCACACTCTATGCACTTATAGGGTTTTTCCCCTGAATGCATCCTTTTATGGGAAGTAAGTTGATTCCTCCACGTGAAATTCTTTCCACACATCGTGCGTGCATATTTTTTCTCCCCTGTGTGGATCCTGTTATGGGAAGCAAGTGAACCACTATGACTGTCAGTGTGTGCTCCTTTCAAAAGCCAAGAAAGAAATACCCAGACTCCATGGATCAGAGCAAAGTTATTCTTTTACTGGAAAATGAAAAGGAAGCTACAGATGGAATTCCGAAACTGAGAATTTGGCGCGCAGATCACACATACAAAGAAATGGAATTGTTACCACCGCCCCGAAATCCAGAAGTCCCTTCCAATTAAAAGTTCTGAATATGATCATGTGGGCATCTTCAGGTGGTGATGAGGCCTCTCTCCGTTGACCTTGACATATTTTGATAAGACTTCGCAGCTGCGCAAAAAGGGATAGAGGCTAGCAAGGAAATGGAAAGTTGAAAAGAAGAAATCATACACCCCCTCCTTCTTCTGCCCACAGTAAAGGAATGCAAAACACCTCCAGCTCTCTTCCCCCCCACAATTACCCCTCCCCCCCCCATTGCTAATGACAGCCGAAAGAATTAAGCCTAGCAGTAGAGAAGATATGGGAGAAATAAATGAGATAGATAGCAGTTAGGGTACCCGAAGAGATCTTGAGGCTGACCGAAGCACTTTCCACACACTATGCATTCATAGGGTTTCTCCGCTGTATGGACCCTTTTATAGGAAGTGAAGTGAGTTTTCAACCTGAAACCCTTCCCACACTCTGTACATTGATACAGTTTCTCTCCCGTGTGAATACTAATGTGATTAGCAAGGGAGCCGCTTGAAATAAAACTCTTCCCACATTCCCTGCATGGAAAATCATGTGTTTGCAGTTTTAAGGTATAATATAATGTTGGACAGTGGGTGGGCCTCAAGCCGTCCACTTTGATTGCTTGTCCAATTAACCCTCACTGCAATATAAGTGCCTTGTGTTTGCTATGTTCCAAAACTCAATAAAACTCTGAATCCTGAAGTGAGACTTTTGTGGTGGGCTGTCTTTTCAATTTTACAAGTGCAGCTTTGCTAATGATCTGGATTTTTCCCCCCGACAGCCTTCAAGTTTATATCTTTCTGGGTCACCTTCTAGTAAATCCAATGACAAGGTAGGAGGATAGAGAGAATTTAGAAAAAACGGGATTTCTCTAGAAAGCCTCCAACTATGTAGAGTGGCCTTCCCTTACCAAGTGAGGCATCCTGAGATTGACTTTCCTGTTTGGAGATCACTCTACAACATGACTCTCGAGAGGGACTTGTGTTTCCCTCTGCACAATTAGTACCCACTTCCAGCAAGGACTTCAGAACCTGAAGTATAGGCAAAGAAACAGAGTTAAAAGACAAGAACTGGAATTTAAATTTCAGCCAACAACATCGCTAGACCTTTTATGTTCATAATTTGGAGTGGAAGAGGATGATGGAAAAATTGCTCCAAATATGTTGTTTGGAAGAACACAGGAGCAACGTCACCAGTAAGGTTCTCTAACCATCTCATTGTATGATCAATACGCAAAATTCTTAGGCAGACATTTAAGATTTCAATCACATTTAAGATGGCTCCATATTTCCCAAGAGGAGTGTCTGTCACCTGATACCTTCCCTGTTCGTCCTCCTCCGCTTGACTCCGCAAGAAGCCTTCGGCCAGAGCCACCGCCTGGCAAGTGGTCTCCGCTTGGCATTCCTGCACCCAGCACTGCATCTCCCTGGGACGGCCATAAAATGTTCCAAGATCACCGAATCCAACATCTGAGCCTTGGTGGCTGCAACCATCCCCAACAAAGGCGGTGAAAGAGGTTGCAAAGCTCTCGCGGCCCATCGGCCTCCTGAAAGGGGCTATTCTTGAAGCGCCAGCGTTGAATCTCAGAACTGAGGACATCTTCCTTCTCCTCCTCCTCCGGGATCTTCTTCCTGAATTCTGCCCAAACTTCTCCGAAGCTCCCAGGTTGAACAGCAGTGGGACCTTTTCCCACTCCCTCCCAGGCTGGTTGGTTTGCACCCATTTCCAGTCTCTTCTCTTACAGAAAACCAGAAAGGATTCCGCTCTCACGTAGCATCCAGCTTTTTCAGAAGTGAGATGGAAAAATAATCAAACACAGTAAAAGTCTGTAGAAATTCTCAGTCCTCCAGGTCATGGTGCTTTTTCAGGAGGCAGCTGGACTTTCTGGTTTTTTTCTTTGGCAGACATTTCACTTCTCATCCAAGAAGCTTCTTCAGCTCTGACAGGATGCTGGGGAATGAGAAAATTTTTATTCCTTGCAGACAGCTGATCATTTGTGTTAGGAATAACAAGGTTACCTAACGTAGTTTGGGTAAAATAATATATATAAACTATGATAGTAAGTTTAAGTGTGTGTCACTTTAAACTGCAAAGCATGTAATTTTGGGTGCGGTGTGAAACCGCCATAAGAGGGAGCAAGAGAACCTGATTGATTGCTGACGATTGCTGTTTTGATGGATTGATGGTTTGCTTACTGCATGTTTCCTACTGCTGAAGGAAGGAGTTTTGACTTCTTCATATCTCTACTGCGAGGAGATATATTACTGGACTGATATTTGTAAGTTTACTGACCTCTTTTTCGACACTGGACTTTGCAACTGAATAATCCCCGGACAGACTGAATTAGTAAATGATATATGGACTGTTTGACTATGCTAAAACTCTTGCTGGAATAAACTATTTAACTAGCATGGTGTATCTGTTTTACTGAGTGTAAGCTACAAAAAACATTTATCTCACATATTTTGCCTGCCTGCCTGACTGCCGTGCAGATTCTGTTAGGGTGTATCCCTAACAATTTGCATCTGTAGAAAGGTAGCACCCACCCTTCTCCTAGAAGGATGAAATATTCTAGGAAATATTTCAAAGGCAGAATATTTCCCCTAAAATAGAAAGAGAAATCTTAAGGGACACAGAAAACCAGCAGATATGTTGGTGCCAGCTCATCTTCAAGACGAAAGACCTTCAGCTCCAGGGTAATAGGATTAGCCCTCTACCCATGGCACCTGGGAAGATTACATCACCCAGCAAGAATCAACCGAGCCTGGGACTCAAGACAACCTGCAAAGTTACCCTTGCATTGCCCCATGGGAGTCTGACAACCAACCAGAATATCTTTCTTACACAGGAGCAGGAAGCAAGTTCAAAGCCCAAGAGAGAGTATAAAAATACACCTCACTCTCCCCACCATGTGGTCAGCTACCCACGAACCACGAGGTCCTGTCCACCATTAAACCATCTTTCCAATCAGCCTCCATGTTTCCAGTGTCTTTCTCCCACTCGGAACTGAACCCCAGAGGGACATTTCTTCCAACGCAGGAAAGCCCCTTCCCCAGATATTTTTGGGTTTTTTTTTTGGCTAGAATAGCTGGGAAGCAAACCTGATTGACGCACAATGTGAACCCTCCCTAACCTTCTCACTCCCAACCAGGGTTGCATCATTTGCACGCAGTCACCCCAGCCAAGGGAGTCCCAGGGTTGAGCTCCCAGCCGGCCTTTCTCAGACAAGCGACCGGAGCGGAGCATGCGCAGTGAAGCTCAAGGCGCCGTTAGCGAGAGCGCCCTCTGGCGAGTTTCTTAGGCTGGTGTACAAAGCCTCCAACCACCGAGCCTTTGTGGAAGCCGCGGCGGGAGGGGCCGTCTCGCTCCCTTCTGGCCACTCTAGGACTCCGCGCTTAGCTCACTCGCTGGCTGTAACCCCTTCGTCTCCGCAGGCAGCAAAGAAAGGGAGTCGGGGGTGCAGAGCCGCCTCGTGGGAAGGCAGGCAAAGTGGGTATGTGTGGGAGGGGGAGAGTTAGGGCTCAGTCAGGGTTAGTCCTAGTGCGGTGAGGGGGGGGATAAGGAGCAGAGTCCAGGGTCCCTTTGCATGCAAGACCTCCCCCTCCCCCCCCCCGCGCCCCCAAAGTAACTGTCCTTGCTTCAAACAACTCTCCCATTTCCCGGGAAAACCCTCAGGGAGGGGAGAAGGGAGGATTTGGCATTGCAACCCTCAAGCAGGGCAATGCATCCTTTTCCCTCTTTATTCCGCCTTTGGCCATCTTGCATGCGACTCAAGGCGCCCGCCAACTTCCTAACAACTGCCCTGTAAGGTTGCGCAGATCTTGTTCAACGGCCACAAGAAGAGTTCTCCACTCTTCAACTCGTTGCAGAATACCTTATGCCACCAGACTTGAAATTCTAGACCTAGAAAACCTTGAATTACGCCGTCTTCTGTCCGATTTAAGTATGGTATATAAAATCATACATTGCAATGTCCTACCTGTCAATGAATACTTCAGCTTCAACCATAACAACACAAGAGCAAACCATAGATACAAACTCAAGGTTAACCTCACCAAGCTTGATTGCAGGAAGTACGACTTCAGCACCAGAGTGGTCAATGTCTGGAATACTCTGTGGTTTCTTCCCCAAACCCCAAAAACTTTAACCTTAGACTGTCTACTATTGACCTCACCCCTTTCCTAAGAGGTCTCTAGGGGGCGTGCATAAGCGCACCAACGTGCCTACCGTCCCTGTCCTATTGTTTCTTCTATTTTTCTTATATGTACCCATTTCATGTATTCATAACTATGTATACACTTATACTTATTATCTTGTAAACAATTGACAAATCAAATAAATAAATAAACTAAAGCATAGGAAGAATGGTTGGAGGATTATGGGTTTGGGCTAGTCTGTAGAACACAGAAGGACAAGGGAGCAGCCTTCCAGTATTTGGAGGGCTGCCCCACGGACTTATTTTCCAAAGCAGCAGAAGGCAGGACAAAGAAACAAGGGATGGAAGAAGAGAAGCAGCCTAGAACTAAGGAGAAATTTCCTGATAAGTGAGGACAATTAACCAGTGGAACAGCTCGCTTCCCAAAATCATGGGTGCTCTATCACTGGTGGTTTTTTAAGAAGAGACTGACCTGAAATGGTACTATAGGGTCTCCTGCTTGAGCAGGGGGCTGGACTAGAAGACCTCCAAGGTCCCTTCCAGCTACTCTACTCCTGTTCTACTCTACTCTCCCAGCTGAAAAGGACTTTAAAAATGGTTTTATTGATCCGACAGTGTACAGTACGGGCAATGGGAGAAGGAAGACAATCGGAGAGACGATGCCTAGGGGGCGATCGCCTCAGTGTCGAATACCTGAGTGTTACTGCGCACGCTCCGCCACGTCTGCCCAGCTGGGAAGGAGAGGCTGTGAGCTGAGCCCTGGGAAGCGGCCGGGAAGGGGGTCCTGCAACCCCGAGTCTCTCCCGGGGAAAGAAATAGCTGGAGGGAGGCTAAAGGAACCAGCTGTTGACATTTGCACCAGGTTCGTTTCCCCGCATTTCTAACAAAGAACCTGGCAAGGGGGAGGGGTTTCCCCACCTGGCACTCCTCCACCACCTGTGCAAACGGACCCCTTTCAAGCTTTAAGGGGGAAGGGATTGAAAAGACCCCCCCCCCAAGAGTTTTTCTGCTGCCAGGGGAGCTGAGCGGGCAACTTTCAGAGAAGACCCCTCCCCAAAATGTGTTGATTGGAAGGAGGGAGAGACCTTACACTGAGTCTGAAAGATTTGTTGATTTTGCACACATACCCCTCTCCAAACGGTTACTTGGCCCTGAATTTGATCTTACAATCGTAGCTTCTGAATGAGAACAGCTTATAATTCCCGACGTTTCTTTTCTTTTGGATGTAAAAGCTGGAGGCCTTTTGAGAGCCAAATGAGGGCTTGAGAAATCATCTCTCCACCTCTCTGGGAAACTCCTCCAGATCCCAGGACTTGAGACGACCTTCCCAGGACATCCGCAGGGCCCTTCTGGATCCCTGTCAGAGAAAATGCCAGAAAT